AAAATTTCTTGTGACAGAGTTTTACAAGATACATGGATTTCCACAATGCCTCGGCGCTGTTGATGGTACTCACGTTCCAATTAAAAGACCACAAGAAAATTCAACTGATTTTATAAACAGAAAAGGTAGACACTCGATCAATGTCCAAGCATGTGCCGACTATAAATACTGTTTTCTCGATGTAGTGATCAAATGGCCGGGGAGCGTTCATGATGCTCGCATATTTGCAAACTCAAGCCTAAACCAAAAACTGCGAGATGGCACAATTCCCTCTTGTCCCAGAGTAGTTGTTGAGAATGAAGATCCTGTGCCCATCTGTATATTAGGTGACCCTGCCTACCCCCTCTTGCCTTTTCTAATGAAAGAGTTTGCTGAAGGGGGGAAAGATGCTCAGGAACAATTTTTTGGATACAGACTTTCTTCTGCTAGGATGGTCATAGAGTGTGCCTTTGGGAGATTGAAAGCTCGCTTTGGTTGCCTGAGAAGAGAGATGGACATTAATATTGATGACCTCCCTGCTGTAATTCACACCTGTTTCATTTTACATAATTTCTGTGAAATGAATAATGAAATTGTAAGTAAACAGATGGTTGAACAGGCAGTGCAGTATGATGTTGAGTTCCAAAGGCAAAGGCAACCTGGTCCAAATCTGCCCACCAATGAAACCGCTGGAAAGAGAATTCGTAGAATTTATGTCAAATACTTTGAATAAGTATAAAATATGGTACTCTATATATTGTATGTTGTGTTTACATTTACGCTCAATCACTCATATTGCTAAATACACTGTTCCTTACAGTTACAGGTGTTAAGAATAGTGTTTTACTTGGATGTTTCTAATTGTCACAAGAGGATTTTATTCCTCACTGCTTGAGTTATTGCTTCCATGCATGAATTATACTGTATATATTATCATAGCTAGCAAGTTTTCAATTGATTGGGTTTTTCCACACAACATCAGGGTTGAAATTATAGTTCAAGTTACATTTAAACTTAACAGGATATGACTGGATGTAAATAAGATTTAAAATTTTCATCATACATTTGTATACTGTATGTATATGCAGAAAAGCCCTACATAAAGAACAGTGCATGGTATTACATAGGACTGTTCAGTATACCGAAAATATTGGTATTAAATCAATATCGGTATATCGATATCGGATATTCAACCATACCGATATACCAAAATTTCCGACATACCAGAATTTTTCGGTATACCGTGTTCAATTTACCAACTACTGTACATGGCAAAACCATAACCTTTATTTTAATACTGAATGGCAATTCAAAGAACTTTCTACGTACTGCAATGATTTAGGATTTCCACTTCAGTGAGATTTTACACTGAGTATGTGTCGTTCTAAACATGTTCGAAATTATCGTTTTCCCTTTTAGAATTACTCAAAATTTCCATTAAAGAATTTTCCTTTATGATTATCAAAGGAAAACCGGTATACCGATAATATCGGTATAATTTTTTCGGTATACCGATACCGGAAATTTCTCATACCGAACATTCCTAGTATTACAACTCTTTTAACTGATCAACTAACTAGGAAAATCAATTCAGCATAATTAAAAAGCAGTGAAAAGCTTTATAATTGATTTTCTTAGTTAGTTTCTCAATTAGAAGGGTTGTAATGTGCCTTAAAAACCATTATTCAAAAGGCTGAACTTGTACATTCAAGAACCACCAAGTTGAACCTGAAATTTGGGCAATTAAGCCCCCAAAATACAAGAACCACTTCAGGCTGATTTCCTGCTCTATATTTGTTGTATAAGACCCACTTCAATCTGACATAAGTTTTTTTTATTTGGTGCTTTACTTTATGGCAGGAAACATGAGTAACATCAAAGCTGAGTATATATATAAATAATTATTATTATAATATTTCATAGTTACTAGTTATTATTTTTATCTTTGGAATTACTGGTGTGAGTCCTAAAATTTTTATGAACAATTAATGCAGCTGATAATTTGTAGGTTCCTTAAACCAAATATAAACAATCACAACTATGAAAAGCAACACAACTTTAATACAGTCAATACAGCTGTCCCATAGTAACATAAAATAAACAATACTCTTGCAAGCATCCAGACTACAGAGTAGGGCAGTTTTCAACAAGATCTTGTTGTGCAACCAGGGCGCACCCGAAGTGCTGGTGCACAAAACTGCCTAAAAATTCTCAGGTGCGCCTGCTCAAGTGCTCCATGAAAAAGTTGAAAGGGTTGAGGGGCACCTAGTTCACATGTGTATTTATCAATACCTGTGCATCTTAGTATGTAGTCGTAATTAAAAAATGCATTAATTAAACACGATATGCTGTCCTATGCTCTACCAACTGAGCTACAAGGTCAAGTCGGTTTGAGTTGGTGATATTTTGGAACAGAATCTAGTCCTTCGATATCAATGTATCATAAGATATGATAATTTATGTGTGCGTGTTTGTTACCTCATAGCTCAGTTGGTAGAGCATTGGACTAGTATCCCAAAGGTTGTGGGTTTGATTCCCACCGTGGTCAGGCAAACTTTTCAGCTTGCCCGGTGTGGATGCACACTCAGAGTAAAATCACAAACAATTTGTCCTAAAATATGCAAAAATGCTCAATTTGTCATATTATAACACATACATTTCAAACTTAGAACTAAAGTTTTTCCTCGAGTTTCTGCATTGCTGCACAGTACATTTTATGTTAAAATAGTTTAATATGTAATTGGAAAGGGCATGGCAAGTGCGCAATTGTTATAGCATAAATTTATCTTGGGTGCATCACTGCCATACTCTGCAGCCTGGGCAAGCATGACTTGCTTATAAGACAGAAATGTTTTAGAACTTTATATACTAATATAAAGCATCAGTTTCATACTAACTTATACCAACATAAGACAGAACTGTTTGAAATGGCTAAAATATCATGACTGAGGAGTCTCATCATTGCTTATGTTAGAAAAGGGAATATTTTGGGGCTGACCCAAATATTGCTGGGGCTGGGAATATTGCTGGGGCTGGGAATATTGCTGGGCTACCTGTCTGGGTTGTCCAAAATAATTATTTGGCAAATTTTGAGTGGCTTGTGAAGCTGGAAAATGATAGTTAGCATTTAGAGAAGGGAAGGAGTCGGTGACTGCAGGTGCTTGGGTTTGCTTTAAGATGTCTGCCATCAATGTAAAACCTTGCTTGATACTATCTCCAATAGATTCCATAGTTTTATGTACTTTATTCATTGTTTCTGACAGCTCAGCATCAGATTTATCCATACCATCTGAAATTTTCCGCTTAAGTTGTAGGTCTTCCTTGGTGCAATTTAACATTTGTGTTTCACAGTTCAGTTTTTTACTCATTTTAGCATCCTTTCTGTCTGTTAACAACTTTGAAATCTTTGCTCGTCTATCTTTAGAACTACATGGTGCAGCCAGTGGTTGGTTTAAATCACTTTCTTCATCTTCATCTTCACCAGGTAGGAGAGGTGAATCAAGTGAGCGCTCACCTTCATTTACATCGCCAAAGAATGAACTGTTACTCGTTACACTCGGGCCGGGCGAGACAGAATCTTGTCGGTCTAGAGAACTATCTGAAGTCACTGAAGTGTGATTTTCTTGCGCTGACGTGTCGATCCCACCGCTAATACTTTCAACAGCTGGCGAACCACCCCACACATTTTCGCACAAATCATAAAACGTTAGAACAACTCTTCCTCCCCCACTGCGACGGCCTGCATCAACTGCTTTTTTGTAGCCAGTCCTTACTCTTTTTAGTTTAGCAGCAATCCTTTCCTTGGTTAGTAACTCAGGCGTCTTAGCTCGTGGAAATTCAGTAATATTTGCTCCAGTTGCGTCTGGCCCTGGGTACCTTTCGACATAAATTTCCATAATCTTTTGATACTTCGCTTTCACAGATTCCCAACAAATACCTTCATATTCGCAAGTTGTTTTATAAGAAAGCACTGCTTCCAAAAGTAGTTGAATCTCATCATCGGTCCAAATAAAATCGGTCTTTTGTTTCTTGTTTCCTTCGCTCACATGAGGTCGTGTTTGATCCGCCATATTTAACACGAGGACCCGCGAACTGGCGGGAAACTAGCGCCCTAATAACAAGGCGAGGTGTTTACACTTGGGCCGGAACATTTCGTGAACGAAGCAAAAACCGATCCGATACAATGTAAACATAGCCTTAGTATTTACAGGGCTTATGATTAGAATTGTAGCTAAATGTTTCGAGTGGTACAATCCGGTAAATAGCGAACTTAAGACCTACGACGCGGTTGGCTCAACGACGCGCTTGTGAAAGAAAGAAATTTGTTATGCAAGACAAAAACTATCAATAATTCGTGGTCTCAGGGGTATTTTCAAAGGCTTTGTCGTGCTAAAAAACGTTAAACTAAGCATTATCACGACTTTCACGCAAGGTGAACGCTTATTGCGACCCTAAAGCCGTCTTAAAGTCGAAATTACAGCAAACACTGCATCGCTTTAGTCGAACTTGGCAGTTTTTAAGGTTATTTGAAAAATCTTCAAACATTTATTACAGTAATGCAATTGCTTAGGGCTCATTCTTGAACTGAAATTCAGACCGCGTCGTTGAGCTGGCGCGTCATCGATCTTGAGCTCTCTATTAGTGTTGTTTGTACAACCTCCCGTTTTCTAGGTATCCAAATTATTCCATATTACAGAGTAATCATGTTACAGTAATCTATATAATGATTACTGCTATAAAAATAACGCAATGGTGTAAACGCGCCACATTTTCCTTGGCCATTAGACCAAGGCTTGTAGTGTAAAAACACCTCGTGAAATGTTGGGTGTTTAAGGCTACTTGTTACCAACCATAGTCTTTCTGATTGCTATTACTTGGTTAGTACAATAGTGTATTACGGTTTTTAGGTACAGACTATACTGTCCAGTTCAACCCGTTGGACGTGCACGGGGTGTCGAACGTCATGTCGACGTTGAACCGCGCATTTCAACACTTATTTGACCGACTCACGAGTGACATGGCACCTCACGATCAAGTTCGCTTGATCCTCAACTCGGATCAGCTGGACAAATCCATTTCCTTGCCTTTCCTACAACGCGATCGTTTAACCCCAGAACGTTTCCTAGCTGCTGTTGAACGCGTCGTGCAGTCCAATGACCAGTTTACTTTGGATGACTCTGTCAGCGTCAACGTGGTCCATGTCGAAATGCCTCAGGGTGGCACAGGTCGTAAGCGTGATGTTGTGAACTTGGAGAGTTTCCTAAGAAAGAAGGACTGTATCGTTCAAATTAAGAACAAAGATGATCTCTGTTGTGCCCGCGCGATCGTGGTGGCCAAAGCGAAATTGGATAACGACCCCCAATACAGAAGTATTGTTAACCATCAAAGGGCCATGCAAACTCGCTTAGCTCGAAAACTCCACGAGTCTGCATGTGTTCCTCATGGTTCCTGTGGCATCCCAGAAATCAAGAAGTTCCAAGCTGCTCTTTCTGGTTATCAGCTGAATGTGATTTCCAAAGAACATTTGAATGCCCTCATCTATTCCGGCCCCAAGGCTGAAAAACACCTATACTTGTACCATCATGACAATCATTACGATGTCATCACGAGTATGCCTGCCTTCCTCGCCCGTAAAAAGTATTGCCATAAATGCAAGAAGGGCTACGACAAGATTACGGACCATCCGTGTGGCGATTTGTGCAAGCTGTGTCATACCCAGAACTGTCCTATCGTTGAATGGAAATTTTGCAAAGACTGTAACCGTTTCTTTAAAAGTGATGAATGTTTCAACCGCCATAAAGATGACGCCGGTCCTGCCAAATCCCTGTGTCGTGCTTTAATTAAATGCAAGAAATGCAAATGTGTTGTTACTCGTGCCAGTCTTCGTGATCATCATTGTGGCAAAGTCAGATGTTCCACCTGTCAAAAATACGTCAAGCCTGAAAACCACCAATGTTATCTTCAACCTGTCAAGGCGAAGAAGACACGATCCCCTGAAGAAGGAAATGATTTGCTCGATGATGATGTGGCCGTGGAAAACGACGTAGAAGACACCAAAAACTTAATGTTCTTCGACTTTGAGTGCACGCAAGACGATGGTAAACACGTCCCCAATCTCTGGGTAGTCCAGAACGAAAGTGGTGACGAGAAAGGCCAAACACGAAAGACGAATGGGCCAAACACGAAAGACGAATTTTGCTAGTGGATGTTTCAGCAGGAAAACGCGAATACGACGTTTGGCGCACATAATTTCCAGGCTTACGACGGGTACTTCATTCTACAATACCTTTACAAGAATGGTGTCACTCCAGAAATCATTACCCGTGGCGCAAAAATCCTTTCGCTCACTGTCCCCGAAATGAACATCAAGATTATTGATTCTCTCTGTTTCATCCCAATGAAACTCGCCGCCTTCCCGAAAACGTTTGGTCTCACAGAGCTTCAGAAAGGTTACTTCCCTCATTTCTTTAACCGTGCTGAGAACCAAGACTACGTGGGACCTCTTCCAGACTCGAAGTTCTACGATCCTGATGGCATGAGCAGCGATGACCGAGAAAAGTTTTATTCATGGTACAACGAGCAAGTCCGGCGTCAGTACGAGTTCGACTTTCAAGCCGAAATTCGTCGATATTGTCAATCCGATGTGGACATTTTGCGTCGCTGCTGTCTCGAGTTCCGCGAACTTTTCAGCCAAATCACAGATGTTGACCCTTTTGCCTCTTGTCTCACCATTGCTTCTGCGTGTAATCTCGTCTTCCGTAAAACGTTCCTCCAGGAGAACACCATCGCCGTCATTCCTCCTTGCGGGTACAAGCCTGAAAACAAACAGTCCGTCATCGCCTTGAAGATGCTGGCCTGGGTTGCTCAACGTGATAACATTGCCATTCGTCACGCCCGGAACACGGAGAGCAGCGCATTGGCAAGTATCTTGTCGATGGTTTCAACGTTGAGACAAACACTGTTTGGGAAATTCAAGGATGCCTGTGGCATGGATGCGAAAGGTGTTATGCCAGAGATACCGTGAATCCTATCAACCATATGACCATGCAAGATCTTAAGCAGCGAACCCTCGAGAAAATCCAGTTCCTAAAGGATAACGGACACAATGTCGTAGAGATTTGGACGTGTGATATTGAGCGTCAACTTGCCACTGAACCCGAGATGAAGGATTTCTTCGACAATTTCGAGATTTCTGAACCTCTTGAACCTCGTCATGCATTCTTTGGTGGAAGGACTAACGCAACACGCCTATATTACGACGTCCAGCCAGAAGAGAAGATCCGCTATGTGGATTTCTGCAGCCTCTACCCATGGTATGTATCTTGTTGAAGTCCTTTAACTCAAACGTGTTTGCCGTTAACCTTCTTAAACATTTTTAGGTGTAACAAATACGGCGAGTATCCGATTGGCCATCCCGAGATTATTACTGAGAACTTTCAACCTATCAGTGACTACTTTGGTTTGGTGAAATGTTCTGTGC